TGAGGTATGAGTTACTGCTGTGGCAGAACTTTTCTCTTCCGGGTACACTTATGTTGCCTGTAGGTGCACCTGTTTGCAAGCATCGTTTTCATATGTGCGCCTTCGCCGGAAGATAATCAAGAATGAGAGACTAAATGTCACTCGTGGCTTCTGGTCTTGTACGGAGTTGCATTCGTTCTGGTGATGTGAAACGGCACTTCACCTTCAAACGTTGACAGTTGTTGGCTGGGAATTAGAGTAATTACGTATATGTTTATGGCCCTACTTCTACAGACTCTCCAACGAATAGCAATAAATCTCTGACCTCCTTAATATAAGCCCGTTCCGCTAAGTATTCTTCAGACAAAATTTTGTTTAGCACCTATATAGTAAATCAAAATTAAATTCAATAATTAATTGTGTAAGTAATTTTGTGTTTAAATCCCTTTCTCTATGATTAATTTTCACTTTTAAATGAAATAAATGCGGCAGCCAGTAGGTTTACCGCTGAAAACTACCCCTATTTGTGACACTGAATTAAAAAAAAAGCCTTCGATATACACGTTTTAACATTACGCAGCATATCCCACGTTCGAAGATAGATCAGTAAGATACATAATAAATGAAACAAGTGTACTTTCCGGCAAAATTTAAAGGAACGTCTTGATCGTACGGGCTTGTTAATTTCTAATCGTGTGCAGTGGTCTTCCGGTTACATCGTGTGGGAATCGTGTCACCTGCTACAATAGTCGGTGAATTCGGATCCCAGAGGCAGGCAGGGCATCACAAAAACGGAAATGAAGCGTGAATATGCAGAAGGGAGACTGTCGATATACACTTTCTTGCAAGAGGCGCTGCATTCTCTGCGCGTAGATTACGAAGGCGAATAAAATTAGAGAAATCCATCGTGATACAAGCTCGTTTGTTCGTCCTTCGTTCTTCTCCACATGTGGATTCATGCCAACAGAATAAACTGCAGGGAATTAGTTATGACTAATTGTGATTTAAGAAATATTATTTCAATGATTTTACGTCAGTTCTTGTTTCCGCGTGTGCATGAACTTGTTAAATAATGTTGTCAAAGAAACGTAAGGAAGAGCAGTGGGGGACTATGTTTAACCC